GAGGACCTGCCCTGAGTAGTAGTCTCGATGATAATACATGGGGAATGTGGGAGGTTTTATTGAACTGTGAGGACCTGCCCTGAGTAGTAGTCTCGGTGCTTATAGTTGGAGAATGTGGGAGGTTTTATTAAACCGTGAGGACCTGCCCTGAGTAGTAGTCTCAGTGCTGATAGATGGAGAATGTGGGAGGTTTGATTAAATCGTGAGGACCTGCCCTGAGTAGTAGTCTCGGTGTTGATACATGGGGAGTGTAGGAGGTTTGATTAAACTGTGAGGACCTGCCCTGAGTAGTAGTCTCGATGATAATACATGGGGAATGTGGGAGGTTTGATTGAACCGTGAGGACCTGCCCTGAGTAGTAGTCTCGGTGCTTATAGTTGGAGAATGTGGGAGGTTTTATTAAACCGTGAGGACCTGCCCTGAGTAGTAGTCTCAGTGCTGATAGATGGAGAATGTGGGAGGTTTGATTAAATCGTGAGGACCTGCCCTGAGTAATAGTCTCAGTGCTGATACATGGGGAATGTGGGAAGTTTGATTAAATCGTGAGGACCTGCCCTGAGTTGTAGTCTCAATGCTAATACATGGGGAATGCAGGAGATTTTATTAAATCGTGAGAATCTGCCCTGAGTAGTAGTCTCGGTGCTGATACATGGGGAATGTGGGAGGTTTGATTAAACTTTGAGGACCTACCCTAGAACGAAGTAGAGAATCCCCGAGAATGTGGAAATGAGTAGGATGAGATTTTTTCCCCGTTAGTTAAACGAGGTTAGGGACAGAGATTATATTCTATTTTCCCGTCCTTGCCCAAATCTCCATCTTGTCCCGTCGAGCCCTGCTCACTTAGATATATGCGTATCCGTTGTAATATTGAAATTTAAGTTTTTAGAAACGATGTATTTCGTAAGAATGCGGGGACAAAGACCGAGAAGACTTTTCTGTTTCAGCCACATTTCGTGAACATCTCTAGCTCTAATCAAGAATACGTGTCAATTCATTGTATGAAAATGAGGGCAACGTCACACCGTTAGGAGCCAAAGAAAAGTCTACCAATCAATGCTCTTTACAACACCATGATTAGATTGTAGTGTATTATTAGGAGTGTGAGCCCTCCAAAACCCAACATGTTAGGGTTTTATTGGCTAAAAGCTTTCTCCTTGTGAGCATGAATGATATTTAATAAAGTTCGAGTTGGATTCAGCTAAATCGACGGCATATGATTTAATCAGTTGAAGTATGTTCGGGTTGATCGAATGCAATTTTCACAATTGTTTTCGATAATAATAACGGAAGAAAGACGTTAAATGTAAAATACGAGCATCACGACCACAACAAATTCATCATTATGAAAAGCTCTTATCAGGGTCACGGTTAATATCATTGCTATCATCAATAAGAAAACCTTTAAGCTTATTACCCAGTAACTGGTTTTAAAAAATACGATAATAAAAGGAAGATACGAGTTTGTAGCTAAATATTTAACCTAATAGGAGCATCCCGTTCCACACAACACCAACACAAATAAAATGTTTAAAATGGACAACTTTACCCTTTACCCTTTGTGCCTCAACCGTCTAACATAAGTAAAATGTTTATAATGGACAATTTTACCCTTTGCCCTTTGTGCCTTAACAGCCTCGCAACTCGTTCATCTTGATATGAGTTTCTCGATTGATCGATAAAGGATATGCACGAGTAAATCTTTTCATTTTGACGGTGAAATTTAACATTTTTATCTCTCGTATCTTAAATTTTAAAAATCGAATAGAAAAGAGAATATGTCGTGTCATACTAAACTCCATGCTTCTTTACTTTTTTTGATTGATTGCAATAACACATGGAATGGACCAAGTCCTATTATTATTTCTTTTTCTTAGGGTTTGGATTTTTCAATTACAAAATAAAATAAAAATTATAAAAATTGATTTTTTATTTTTAAAATTAAAATATTTAATTGAATCTTCCAATAAATGTCTAATCAATTAATTTATTTATAAAAAAAAATGTCAATTTAATCACATAAAATTATTAAATTTAAAATAAATTTATAGTTTAATTAAAAAAATGAGGGTGAAATTAAAGGCGTGAATGAGGGGTTAAAAATGTCCCACATCGGTCCATTTATGATAAGACAAACTTGAGGGAGAGGGTTGTGAGTTATGGCTATAAAATCATTAAATATTTCAACTAACTATATTTATGGTCACGTTACCATTAACCAAAGCCAAACCCTCCATTTATAACCCAACAAAATTCTATTTAGGCTGAGATCCCTATCGATTGAAGAGGGAAACAAAACATTCTTTCATAAGGATATGAAAACCTCTCGTGAGGTCTCAGATCCACCGTTACCAGATATTGTATTTTTTGGGTTTTCCCTTTCGGACTTCCTCTCAAGGCTTTAAAACGATTCTGTTAGGGAAAAGTTTTCACACTCTTATAAAAGGTTGTTTTGTTCTCCTCCCGAATCAATGTGGGACATCATAATCTACCACCCTTCAGGGCCCAGCGTTCTCGCTAACACCTCTCCCTAACGTATGCATTTTAAAACCGTGAGATTAACAGGCCAAAACGGACAATATTGGCTAGTGGAAGACTTGAGTTACTAAACATTGAACAATGTGTGAGTGAGGACATTAGACCAAAAAGAGTCGATTGTGAAATCTCACATCAGTTGGAGAGGGGAACGTTTGTGAAATTTTCAAATATTTTGAGGGTCGATTTTTAAGTGGAAGATGGCTAGTGGGTACAAATTGCAATGTAACATAAAATGTAAGGTTATAATTGCAAATAGTTGCTAAAGTTTAAAGTAGACAATAAATAGGGAGATATGGGGATGGGGGGGTTTCATAAATAAGTGAAATTATGGGGGGCTTAGAAAATATGATAATGGCAGAGAATGGGCAAAAAGGAATTTTAAGAATGTCATCAAACTCAAAAACATTATTCTTCCGACATTATTATAATCTTCAACACTGAAATTACCGCCGACATTTGACCGTGTCAGAGATTCACACGTACGATTTTACTCAATTGGGCCTGAGCCCAAACAAGGTCCATGGAATTGGTGAAAGCCCAATGGGTTGGTCTCCATCGTTAATGGGCTGTAAAATGGGCCTGAACCCAGAACTAGGACGTATGGAAATACCTGTTTACCGACTTTCTTTATTTAACAATATATTCGAATATTAATTAGGATGTATCAAAAAGACTAAAATACCCTTTAACAAAACCATTCAAATTTCATAAATCAACAGATTATTTGACCAAACAAAAACAATAATAAGTAGATATTTTCCGTTTTGACCAGTTATATATCGCCGTCAGCTTCACGGTTTTACAACGCATATGTTAGAGAGAGGTTTCCACACCTTTATAATAAATACTTCATTCCACCCTCCAACTGGGGTATTCCAATTTATCCAATTAAATTTCAAATATTTAATTTTATTAAAAATTTAATCGCTCAATTAAGAACTAACCTTTCTTAACAGCGATATTATAATTACAACGGTTGTTCGTAAAAAGACCACAGATAACCGTTTCTATCGGTGTCAAATCGAGATTTGAATACTCACCTACTTACCAAAACTAGTAGTTGTTTTGTTTTGTTTTTTTTTTAATTTAAAAAAAATATTATTTATGGGGAAGGAATATAATAAATGAGTTAGGTATTTTCAAAAAAAAAAATTTATAGAAAAAGGCAACTTTATGAGAAAATCATATCTTTCTATAAAAGATGTAATGATTTCATAAATAAATATGAGATTTTAAAAAGAAAATAAAAATCACAACATGGCTGCATGTTCTTAACCTTTCAATAATCATTATAATATCAATAAAGTTAACGAAAATTACTATGTTACACGGTAATATTTATAGAGTAAAAAAATAAACGTCACGTGGACTCGAATACGAAACAGGTCAGAAATTAGAATATGTTTTTAACTCAATTTAATATCATAGATGGAGACGTATAAGGTATCCCTGACCGCAACCTGAAAGCATTAAACCGATCGAGACGGAACATGAATTGAAAGTCTTGTAGGGCTAGAAAGAAGACGGAGAATACAATCCCGACCCGAGTTTAGGGTGAGAATTAATGCCAAAAGTGGGAGAGGGCAAGGAAGGGAAGGATAGGGGTGAGGGATTTTGCAGCCTCCACTGCGCTGTATTCTGAAATTTTGCAGCTTTGAAATTCCCCATTCTACCCTTTCATTGAGTAGAGCTTGAGGTGGCTGTGTTTTTTTTTTTTTTCTTTCAAATAAATTTTAATTTTGACCCAATTAAAATAAAATGGTTAATATTTTAATTTAAAATATAATAAAAATTTAGAAGAGTTTAAAAAATAAAGCAATTTTTTTACAAATTAATTATTAAATTTAAATGTTATTTCTAATAAAATTTTAAAATATATTTAGCTTAGGAACATGCATATCATAAACCATCCATTTTCCACACAAATAAATAAATAAATAAATAAATAAATAAAATGACTTTGGTTGGTCAATTACTACTTAAACCTTGGTCGTGCCTCCATCTTTGGTTGACCCTCTTTTAATGCTCCTCCATTCATTTCCCTTTCCTCGAATATTTAATTAATATTCTTAATTTTTTTTAAAATTAATGGAAAGTATCTGTGTGATGTGTAGATAGACGGTAAAAAAAAAAAAAAAAAAAAAAATTAATTTTGTAATTTTTTAAAATTTAAAGATATTTTTAAAATAATGTACTAATTGTTGGATATTTTTTAGATTTTTTTAAAAATATTATTAATTTTTTTTTAGTAATTTAAAAAAATAATAAATTAGTGAAGTGATTGTGTGGACATATTAATTATTGAAAGTGTACTCATTTATTAAACTGAAGTAATCAGCTGTCCAAAGCAAAGCACCAGATCAGCTCTCATTAAAAGAATAAATAAATAAAAATTGCACAAACAGTCCCTCAACTATCATGAAATTAAATAATAATGATTTTGATTGGAGAGTTGGAGAGTGCATTTTAATGCAAATACAGAGAAATACAGAGAAGCACTTCTCTCACTCACCTGTCATTTCCGATTCCATCACCCACCAACCCACTTCTTCCACCTCCCCATCCAGCAAATTAGAGTTTGCAGCTGTCGGAGATTTTCTCTCCTCCTTTTCTCTCTCCTCTGCAAACAATCTATCAAATTATAACCACCAACGGCTTAAACCGTGTGGTTCACCGGCTGTGATATTTGATGCAGAAGAAGAGAAGCTCGTGTACGACGTCGTTTCTGGGGAGGGTATGGCTTACCCACATTACCGATCGCAATTTGGAGACACCACTTTCACTAAGGTCTTCGTGGGTGGACTTGCTTGGGAGACTCCCACCGAGGAAATGAGGCGTTATTTTGAGGAATTTGGTGACATTCTTGAAGCTGTTATAATCACCGATAAAATTACCTCTAAATCCAAAGGCTATGGCTTTGTGAGTTACTCTCCCCTTTTGCTTTCTTCTTTCCTAACCTTTTCCACTTCTAACCACGTTTTGATTCGATTCTTTAGGTCACTTTTCGTGACCCCGAGTCGGCTAAAAGGGCTTGTTTGAATCCTAACCCGATCATTGACGGGCGACGAGCTAATTGTAATATTGCTGCATTGGGACGCCCTCGTCCCTCGCCTCCACGAGGTTTCTAATTCAATTCCCTCAGTTTTTGATGTCATGAGTTTTTCGTTATGATTTTTTTTTTTTTTTTTTGTGAAGGACGACATCAGAGTGGCGTAAATGTGCAATCAGCTTCGCCGTTGCAGTTGAACCTCCCGCCACTTCCTCCGCCACCTCCGGTTGTGTATTCACCATACGGGTTAGTTTTGTTTTAACTCTAAACTTTTAATTTTGCGTGTCGGAATGAGCGGTAAAAAAGTTTAGAACTTTTGTTTGGAGAAGGGTAGGTTGTTGGTTTTAGTGGATTATCCTATCTTGTGGTCACGACGAGTCAAAATAATAATCAACTTACCAACAACAAACAGCTAAAACTATAGCTTTTTGACTTATTCGATGTTTTTAAGTTATAAATTTACGAGAGATTATTCAAGAAGATGGGTATATCGTGACCTACCGTTTTTTTTTATTTTTTTATTTTACAGATACCCGAGTTACAATTCTGATTATAACTACCACCAGCAAGTGAGTTTCGTCTTCTCTTTTTTTTTTTTGATTGTGGCATTTACTCAAACGATTAGAAAGGCGTCACACAAACTAAATCGAACACATTGAATTATTGTAGCAGACAGTGTACAATCCACAACTCCGACCACCACAATTCTATCAGCAATCCCCATATTTCTACGGCTATTCTCGAACATTTCCCATTCCTTCACCGTCTCATCAACATCGTCTTCCTCCGTCTTACATGTACTACCCGACGCTTCCCCCAGCTCAATTCGAACCCTCCTTCAACTACCCTCAAGCTCCTCTCGTATCGCACCGCTTTTCTCCTGCAGGTACGTATCATGAATTAGGTTAAATTATAAATTTCAATAAGAAATTGAGTTAAAAATAAGTAAACGTCTTAGTTACCGTCACATCGTTTTGTTACGAGAGGGTTAAAAGTGGGGGCCATGTGGGTAAGGTAAGGGTAGAGCCATGTGAATGAGCTGTGTATTGGGGCCAATGAAATGGTTGAGAGCAAATTGATGACAGACAGCTACTGAACTCACCTGCATTTCCATGTCACTTTTTCAACCCCCTTTTATTCTAAAACCCCAACTTTTTTATTTTTCAACTGCCCCCTTAATTTCTTTCCCTTTTCGTTTTCTCCCCTCTAATTTTCCATTTTTGTCCATATACCCTCATTAGGAATAATGTTACCACCAAATACATACCCCTTTTACCCCTCATTATTCTTTCAAATTTTCAATTTAGTCCCTAATTTAATAAATATTCAAAATTTTAATTATGTTCGTAAAAAATAAGGTAATAACCTAAATATATCCTATGTTATTAATGGTTACAGTTGAATAATGTGTTTTTTATTTTTTTGTTTTATATTTTATTTCTTAATTTCCATTTTGGGTAGCTGTGTCCAGCTGCGTTTGAAAATGGACCACTTTCGTAACGTTTAAATTAAAATAAAGCATTATTATTTATTCACATAAAGTTTTGAACATTAATATATAAAAATAAATATATATTAATTTCAGATTCTCAGACATCTCAGACATGTCAGCAAGCTGAAGCTGGAGCTGGAGAAAGTCCGACCACTTGACATACAGAATAAGAATGTCAAAAGCCAAACCGAAATTATTGGTTAGAGTAAAAAAAAGAAAAGGTGGAGATAGTAAAACTGTAAAAAGTTGACAACTTGATCCATTTGAGATCCTTTTTTTCACCCATTTTTATCTCTTGCTGAGGCTCAAGGTCAATTTTTAGAGAGAGTTTTTTTTTTTTTCATCATCATCGAAGTATGAACTTGATATGAACCAAGAGACACCAATCATATAATATGTTTCAATGAAGATGTGAAGAAAATATTGTTGAAATTTTCAAAAGATATTTCAATTCATGCCACATTTAAATTTTGGGTAGATTACCATTTAGAGTAATTTAGAGTTATTGTATTTCATTAATGTATTTTAAGACTTTTTATTTACTTTAGGTTATAATTACATAATGATTAATTCTGACTATTAAATATGAGTGTTACAACTCTTGGAATGCCTTTAATAGTTTCATTTTGAGGCTATATAAAGCCATGTATGTTGTATTTGTAATAGACTTGAAAATATATAGTACAAGGAGCATTTGTGCTTTCTTTAGCCAATGACTAAGTTTCTTTGCAATTCTATGTAGTTTAGGTTGCAGGTAGAATCATTCAAGCTCGACATGATCAATCTTACTTTTGAAGTGATTCGAATATTAAACAAGTGTTCTTGCATTGAGATATTTGATCAACAAGAATCATTCAAGCTAGACATGATCGATCTTGTTTGTGGAGTGATTCGAATCTCAAACAATGTTCTTGCCTTGAGATATTCGATCAACAAGGTATTCCGAATCTTACTCTCCTTGTAGTGATTACCACATATCAGAACTTCTGACTTATTGATCAACACTTGTAGACGTTTAATATTCGTCCATATTCGAATTTGGAACTTCAGCTTTTAAGGCCCATGTTGATACTATGGGCCATCAAATAAATTACACCTTTTAAGGCCCTTAAAAAACCACCGTCTCTAGTTTGGAAATATACTCTCTCCTGATCGTGTTTAGGTTTTTAAATATTAAATTGTAACTGTCCAAGCCCATCGTTATTAGACTCATAATTTTAAAATGTATCTATTAGGGTACCCTGATTGTGTTTAGGTTTCTAAATACTAAATTGTAACCGCTCAAGTCCTAGTCGATATGAGATCTCACAAAACACCCCCTTGGAGGCCTAGTGTCCTTGCTGACACATTGCCTTGTATTTGACTTGCTGCTAACAGATATTGTTCATTTTGGCTCATTACGTATTGTCATTAGTCTCATAGTTGCCCAACGTCCTCGCTAGCAAACTACCCTTATGTCTGGCTCTGATATCATTTGTAACAGGGCAAGCTTACTACTAGCAGGTATTATCCGCTTTAGCCCGTTACATATCGTTATAAGTCTCACGGTTTTAAGATGCGTCTACTAGGGAGAGGTTTTCACACTCTTAAAAATAACGTTTAAGTAGAGTGGGAGTCAAGCCATTGAACTTTTAAGGTGACGGTTACTATCTTATTTACTAAACGGTATTCAAATTAACTTGAGTACATGCCGACACGAAAAACCACGGTTGGTTGTGGTATCGTCGAACACCAAATTTTCCACTCGTCAACTTTCTTCCTCGTCCATCGACGTACTTTTGGATCTTCCTTCTTTTCACATTGCTATCAATCTCCATTCCAATTTCGGCGGAGAAGGGCAATCAAGTGGGCACCAGCTTGCTAGCATCCCTCTTTATTTGGTCACCTCCAATAACTCCGGCGACAGCACCGCCTTGTCTTCCGCCGCTAGATCCGGCCTAATTATCCACAAAAACTTTATTCGAATGTTTGCAAGCGCCATGCAAATTCCTTCCATTGATCTTATGCAATTTGACGTAAAAAACAAAAGTAATTAAAAAATTAGCATAAAATAGAGGTTCGTGTTCATACTAATTGTGGTCACGTTTATCTTTATAATTTGCTGTAGGGGCACACACGAGTTAGATGGAGTCGAATTGAAGAAATCTTTTGGACTAATAAAAAAGTTTGGGTTGATGATCCGAACCAAACTTAACTTAACTCAACCCAATCCAATGCTCTATTTCTGGGTTCGGTTGAATTGAGTTATCCGGTTGTTTTTATTAAATTATTTTAAAAAAATTATAATTATCTACCAGACATGTTACGTTAATAATTAAAATCTTATAAAACTTAAATATCAGACGTTCACATAATAATTTTAAAAGTAGGGTTAGGTGGGTTGTAACTTTATTTTCGAGTCAGTAAAGTTGACTCAACAAAAAATAAAAAATAAACTCCCAGATTGACCAAAATTTCATTCTAACAAAAAAAAAAAAAAATCTAACCCAACCCAATCTTTTTAGTTTGAGTTTGGATTGAGCCGAGTAGTTCGAGTTGGTCGGATTTTCAAGTCATTTGAACACCTTAATTTGCTGTCCCGACTGCCATACTAGCCATTTTTTCTATTTGTTGTCGACCATGTTTTTTCATCGAGCCATCTCAATACCTCACTTAAAGTCTCCAGATAAGTTTCATCGCCAATATTATTAAAATTTTTGAGTATTTTTTTAGATAAAATACAAATTTTTTTTTTAATAATTTAGCATAAATCGGAGCATTCTCGATTAAAAGTAATAAATTGTTGCATCTACCACTCATTATTTCACCTATAAACATTTAATAATTAATTATTTCTTTCATATTTGATTATACTCATTATTTTTTTATTCAACTATAATCATAAATTCTAGCCGCTTTCAATTATTCAAAATTAAATAAGATAAAAATAATCGTTACATCATCCACATACAAGACGAGATGTAAAAACATTCAAACCATGCTCGATAAATCAAACATAAAAAGCTTACCAACTTCATTTGGTAAGGTCGTTGCATTTATACGTGAGAACGTATACTACCCTGGAGAAAGACGCTTTTAATATCTAGTTGTTTCAATTTATTGTCAAGTTGAGCGGTCAGAGATAAAATAATACGTATTATTGGCTTCGTAGTAGCTCGACTAAAATTGTAGGACGTGGATAATCATATAAAATCTAATTTAATTATAAAAAAAACACACACACACACAAACCATGACTATAGCACAATGTTTTGTTAACAAAATAATAAATAATGCAAATAAAATTAATTTGGATTTTTGACTTTAAAACAGAGTACTAAAAATCCATCATGCGCCGCACTATTACGCGTCATCCTCCTCTTCCGTATACAATAAATACCCTTATCTCCATTTTCTTCGTCTCCACGCACAAAATTTTCATTATGGCTTCCATTTCTCTCCTCCTCCTCTTCTTCTTCTCTTCTTCAATTCACTCGCTCTCCGCCGCCGCCGCCACTGCCACCACCGCCGACGCCGCCAGGAACCTTGCTTTCTTAGACCATCCCCTGGATCTCGACTCCTTTCCCTTTGAATACCACGGCGGCCGACTTCTCTCCGGCAATATAACCATCAATCTCATATGGTACGGCAATTTCAATCCCTCCCAAAAAGCCATCGTCGGCGATTTCATCGCCTCCCTCTCTGCTTCCAAATCGGCCATGTCCCGGCAGCCCTCTGTTTCCACTTGGTGGACCGCCATTAACAAATACTATAATCTTGCTCGGAGTTTCAAGAAATCCTCCCGTTTTTCAATCTCCTTGGGTTCTCAGATTCATGATCGGGAATATTCCCTTGGGAAATCGCTAACGAAGCGTCATGTTCTTGCTCTGGCATTGAAGGGTCGGCGGAAATATGCAATCAATGTGGTTTTAACGGCTGCGGATGTCACGGTCGATGGATTCTGTTTTAACAAATGTGGGTCACATGGGGTTTCCGCCGGAGCTCCGATTCAGGGGAAGCGGTATAAGTTTGGGTATATTTGGGTGGGGAATTCGGCGATTCAATGTCCGGGGCAATGTGCCTGGCCGTTTCATCGTCCGGTGTACGGTCCACAGAATCCGCCGTTGGTGTCGCCGAATAAGGATGTGGGAATGGACGGTGTTATTATAAACTTGGCCGGACTTCTCGCCGGAACTGCGACGAATCCGTTTGGGGATGGGTTTTATCAGGGGCCGAAGGAAGCTCCGTTGGAGGCGGCGTCGGCCTGCACCGGAATATTCGGGAAAGGTGCTTTTCCGGGATATCCCGGGGAGGTTCTGGTGGATGCTGGCAGCGGAGGGAGTTATAATGCGGTCGGTGGCAATGGACGGAAGTTTCTGCTTCCGGCGTTGGTTGATCCGATCACTTCCGTTTGTTCTACTCTGGTTTGAGGACTTGGAACGGGAGAATATGAAGAGATTAAACGACGTCGTACTTGATGTTGTACGGAATGGAATGATTTATTTATTTATACTTTTTTTTTTCATTTTATAAATATAATTCACAAATTTAAAGAAGGTTATAATAAATATGTATTTTATTTTTCTGATTATGTTGTGTGAATGGAGAATATTGCGGTTGATTTTTAAGTCCCATGTTTGGTGATTTTATATATTTTTAATTTAAAATCAATTATTTCTAATTAAAATGAAATTATTGTAAACTAAATTAATCGAAATATTAAGATTAACATTTTAGATAAAAATTAAGTTTTAAAAGAAAAAAGAATTTATTAGAGAGATATGACAATAGAAAAAAAAAAGCAATAAAAGAGATAAATATTTTTAAAACATAAAAATATAAAATTATAATTATTTAATATCTTTATATATATATATATATATATTTATTTATTTATATTAATGAAATCATATTTATTCTCTTAGACAACAAACTACCCTAAGAAAATAGGTAAAAAAAATTTAAAATAAACTTTTAAATTTGTATAGGCTTATTTTTAAAATTTTTAAATTTAAAATTTTGTGGGTAGTAAATTATTGGATATTTTTAAAACATAAATTTTTAAATTTTATTGTTTTACTGGATACAAAATTAAAATTTAATAATATTAAATTTACTTATAATAAATTAGTTAATTTTAAAAAATTTAAATATATTACTATTGTATTAAAAAAATCAGGGAGTTAATTCTACCAAAAAAAAAAGAAAAAAATTATAGCGAATTACACGTTTTTGGCTTTTGTTACGGTTAAATCTTTTGGTGTGCTTCCCGCTCCCGCCGCAGCTATATGGCGCCGTGTTCAAGGATCCGGCGAAGAATTCCAATTTCCAGCGTCCTCCGTCGCCTGGAACTCTAGTTCCATCCTTTCTGAGAAAATTCTCTCGCGGAATTTCGTCGAAATAATGGATTCTGATGACTTGAAATCTCCAGAATTCCTAAATCCTTCGCCCATTTTCCGCGCTCCCACTAATTTCCGGCCGCCAACCCATCGTCATACTCCGGTGGCTAGCATTCCAGCCAACAACCGTTCGAGTCAATCCATAATTCTCTCTCCGTAGAGTCTCCGTCGTTCCTCACCATTACCATTTCCAAGCCCCCTCCAAAAGAATCCATTCTCCCGACGATATAGCCACTTCCACGATTCCGATTCCGGAAGAAATTTCCTAGGTTTCATTGTCGCTTTTTCCGAATCCGCTCGATGCCGGAAAATCTCCGACCCTTGCTTCCAATTCGACAATGTTAATTCCATCGTCTCGATTCTTGATACTCTGATTCAATTGGTCGACGAAATACCACCGGCGCATATGGAAACCTCTCATATCGAACATGGCATGCGCGGATGGTGGGAGCAGCGGTTCTTTTGATGTTTCGATTTCTCCCCCAGAATCTCTAGTCAGCTGCCATAGAAATTGTGCCCTATTTCACCGACAGCTTCGGGAATTCGAGCCGAATCGATTATGGTACTGGCCACGAGACGAACTTCGCGGACTGGTTGTATTGCTTGGCAAAATTGGGGTAATCAAGGAGGAGGATTACCCGGCTGTGTTAATGAGGTAATTGCAGCTGGCTTATTGCTTGGAGCCTGCGGGTTCCCAAGGTGTTTGGGGTCGCGATGACTACCATTTCCTGTCGTTCGTTTTTGGATCGTCACAGTTGATAGACCATAAGTATCTGAAACCCAACTCCATTCACAGTCAGGATATAGTTCCCGTTATGCAGCACTTCCTCTTTGGATGGCTCATCAAATGGTCTGTATATTATCAGTTAAATGTTTACATTTGTTGCAAATTTGTGCTCTTCATATATTCCTTAGGATACACAAAGTTTGTTCTGTGAAGTTTTTTCTGAATTTTTTATGTTGTTTCTAAAGGCTGGATGGTCAATGAGTTCTATTTCATTAGATCAAATACAAGCTCAATGCTCTGGCTTGCAAGTTATTCATTGTTGCTCTTCATAAATAATAATGTTTATGCTTATAACTAGTAAATCTTCACTGGCCTGAGAGTAAAGAGACTGGTATTGGCTTTGTTTTCATGGGAATGGGATTGAACATTTGTTCTGCTTCAAATTCTAGATTTGTCATCATGTTCTGTAGATGGGATTATATGTCTCTAAACACTTCAGGAATCCTTTGAACTTTCTTGTAGTAATGAGTTTGGGGCCAAAAGACCCCTACGACTGGTCGACAATCATGTGAGGGGCGCATGCGTCACTTCTAGCTTGGATTATGACTTAAAGGGCGTTCAGTCATAATCTGGCACATGGTAGCTTCGTGCCACTGGCTTTTTAACCAAGCGTGATGACTAATTGTGCAAATCAACAATTCCTCTCATACTAGGTTGAATTATTAGTTAGTTCAACTCTGTTTCTCATTAGTTAGATCGAATGGTTACTGACTCGAGATCTATCCAGCTATTTATGTGTTTGCAGGCTTGTTTTTTAGAGATATCTTAAACAATATCTCAAGACCCATAATCTTGTTATTTTCCCTTCTCATGCTACCCCATTTTCTATTCTAGGAAGTGGGCAGAGTATAGAATTGGCTCTTTGCTTGTAGAAAAGTGTTAACGCTAAAGGTATAGATTGAAGAGAACTGTTGATGATGATGAAATGACATTTGGAATTTGGGTTGCCAAACATCATTCATAGCCAAGCTCCTCTTGTCTCTTTCCTTTTGACGTTGCATGTCCATGACATCTCCATATAGGATTTAAGATACAGCATCTAAGTGCTTGTCATGATTGGTTAACGACACACTCATTTTACACAAGAAGATTCGTTTACTGAAATTACCTCCACTTTTTCTTCCTTTGCAGGAACTGGATGGAAGAGCTCGGTTAATCTGTAAGGGAATCTTGTCTGATGAATGTATGAATTTGCTTCTTATTACGGACTTTGGTTAAGAAAAAAAGCACTTTTCCCTCCCCTGTTTTGCTTCATTGGTGGGCTTTGTTTCAGAATTAGGCCCAATCAAGGAGAGGAAGGGATCCATGGATTCACTAGTCGAGTAATATTATTTTATAGGCGTCGTATAAAGTGTCACGTCGCTTGGCTCAGGAAAATAATGGAATAAAAAGGACCTGCCTTGTCTGCTTCCTCTCCTTCTTTCTTTCTAATTAAAGTAGAGAGAAGAAAACCAAACGGAGGGTTTATAACATTGCTTCAGAGGGACATAAAAGGGAGAGAAGAATGGGGTGTGGGTGAGGCTGATGAATGGTGATAAGGCTGTGGGGGCTGTGATTAATAACAGAGGCAATAACATCGACCATTGGACTAAATTTGTTGATTTGGGTACCTGAAATTTTGTACCAGGTTTCAATATTTGAAGCAAAATTTCACTATTTATGCCTTTTGTCATAGACTCCATCTTCATATGGTTACCTTTTTACCCATTTCTTTTTCTCCCAAACTTTATCTTCTTCTGCAGTTGGCTCATTCAATAATTGATATCTCAATAAATTCCCTTCCACTTATATCTTAGCTTTTTGGTAAATGACTTCTTTTTTGTGCTTTTTTTAAAATGATTATTTACAGGGCAGGATTACGCGTCATTGGAACAGAAACGAGGACCAATTTTGGAGTCAAGTGTTGGTAAAGAGGAAAGGAAAAAAAGGGTACTGTTTCCTTCTTGCTTTCCTTTTCCCTAAGTTTTGGTTGAATGAAGTCACTAGGGTAACCCGGAAGATTTGAACTTTCAAATTACCCAGCGTTGAAAAGAAGAGCTCTGGCATTAATTTTCACGTTTCACTGCCTTTTCCCGTTCCACCTCCTCCTTCCCCAATCCTTGACACCGACACCTGTAGGTGCCATTAGTTGGAACTTGTAACTTGAAACTTCATCCTCCGTTGCTTTCTCCTTCCTCCTCCTCTCTCTCGGAGAAGGTATTTACTGCCTCAGTCACCTCAGTAATAAAAAATTCTCAGAAGGAAAAGGAAAGTAAAGTTTTTGTTTTTGTTTTCTGATACCGATGCCGTGCCAGTAAATTTCAAACATCACGTTTGCTTATTTGTTGTTATTATTACAATTCTTACTAACATCTCTGATCGAATGAAAAGGAAATGAAAAACTAAAATAACAGTTGTGTCATTCTACGCTAGTCTTGCGTCTTCCTCACATCTATGCAAACACACACACACACACACTTATCCCGTTTGAGCATCTTTTTTTTTAACCTCATTTCATAACATTGTGTCTCTTTCTCTCTTACACTCATTGGGTTTTCACTTTTTTGAAATTTTTGTTTCTCTGCTGCTTCCTTGCCTGCATTCAAACTCTTGTTAGGTGGGTAGATAGTTCTCTCTCTCTCTCTCTCAATCTCCCCTTTCTCTTCCCTCTCTTGCTTTTGCTTTGTTTTGTTCTTCTCTCTGCTGAATGAACCGGTGAGGTTTCTTTTCCTTTTTGGTTTTGCATCTTTGTTCCTTCACTCAATCGATTTCAATAGGAGGAAAATATTAGTTTTTCCTTTTACAAATTTAACATCACCCACTTAGCTACATGGGTTTTGTGTTCTTCTGTCCATTTTGGCTCTCATTCCATGGAGCTTCACATTTGCTGAGTGGTTTAGTCATCTATTTCTCTGTTTTGCCTGAGGTCATCTAACTAACTTCTGGGTTTTCATCCACTAACAACTTCGTTTTTTTGTACGTCTTTTCTCTTCATTTGTGATGCTTTGTATTTTACTTCTAACATTTGGCTTTTTATCAGTATTTTTAGTTTGGAACTTATTGATCTGTATGTATGCTTGCCCTTGTCTTCACATATTTTCGTTGGTTTATGGTTTAGATTTGATTTTAGGCTTGGAAATTTATGCTTTCCTGTGGTGAATGAATGTGTTGGGGGATTTCTGTGTAATTTGGATCTCAAACTATGCCCTCTTCTCCACGGCGATTTCTGAAGTTCTCGAGATGTTTGTTTGATGTTGTGTGAGTCGGTTTTGAGTGTGCAACTTGCTCTCTGGTTTACCCCAAATGTTTGACAAATGGAGTGTTTTTCTATCTTCAGGCAGCGATGAACTGTGTAATTGACTTTTCATGTCTTATCTTTTCAAGCAGACTAGAGATGACAGAGGGAAGCGATTTCAGGCACTGGGATGAGCTAATACCGGACGCTCTGGGGCTAATTTTCAGTAAACTCCCACTACAAGAGATACTTACCGTTATCCCCAGAGTCTGCAAATCATGGGCTAAAGCAGTGCTTGGACCTTACTGCTGGCAAGAGATTGACATTGAAGAATGGAGTAGCCGATGCCAGCCGGACAATGTCGATCGAATGCTTCAAATGCTTGTCAATCGAAGTGGCGGTTCGCTTCGCAAGCTCTGCGTTACTGGCCTCCATAACAGCAACATTTTCTCCTTCATCGCTGATCAGTAAGATATAAACATTCCCCTCTTCCCTGAAACTTATTTTTCTGGATGTCGGTGACATTGATTTCTACTGCCTTTCTTTTATAATAAACATATACTGGCTTTGAACAAGATTTCTATGGTTGGTGCTAACTGGATTTGTTAGTGTTAAATGGAGTATTTTGTGATGTTGGTGTTAAATTGAGTATTTTGTGATGTTGGTGTTTTGTTTTGTATTGGTTTTTCAAGTGCTGGCTCTCTCCAGACATTGCGGCTGCCAAGGAGCAATATAAGCGATGCTCTAGTAGAACAGATTGCTGGAAGGCTTTCTGCAGTTACTTTTTTTGATCTAAGCTATTGTGATAAAATCAGTGCTAGGAGTTTAGAGTCTATAGGAAAGAATTGCAAAGCTTTGGTTGGAATCTGTCGAAACTTGCACCCGCTGCATACAGCAGGTATGCCGTTGCTGGACGATGAAGCGTACGCCATTGCAGCCACAATGCCAAAACTGGAGCACCTTGAAATGGCCTATCACCCTCTTAGCACTAAAAGCGTGATGACGATACTGTCGAGCTGCCCCAATCTCGAATTCCTCGATTTGAGAGGCTGTTGGGATGTAAGGCTGGAAGACAAGTTTGTGGCTGAGAAGTTCCCAAAACTAAGAGTGTTGGGGCCTCTGGTTAGAGACTACTACGAGCGAAACGAATGGGATGAATGCTCAGACTACTCATACATCTCCGACGACTTGGCTTGGGACTTCTCTGCAGATTACTTTGACGACGATGCCGAGAGTTACGACGATCCATGGGACGACGAAGACAGGCTAGAAGGACTCGAGTTGAGATTCTATGAAGGAATAGATGAAGTTGGTGGAGGCTTTGGTTGGCCTCCCTCCCCTTAACTAGTAAGTGATGTTTTTCTGGGCTCGTCAAATTGTTGCTCTCTCTGTGTTATGTTTCTTAGCTTCCTACTTGGTATCAACTCGATGCTTTTGGGACTTAGTGGATTTGTAAATTCTCTAATACAAAATTTAAGGTATTTTACTTCAATGTGTAAGAAGTTTTGATGAGTTCTGTGAGTTTGACATATGCCTGTATGCCTGCCCGCCCCCATCAAACGTAGAAGTATTTGTTCCTGTCTGACCATTGAATCGGTTCAAACCGTTTGCTTAAGGAATAGAGGTTTTTGATATAGTTGTGCACGTTTTTCAATGAAATTTGTCAGGTTGCACTAAGTTACTTACGGATGTATGCATGTAGTTCGGGAATACATTGGGTACACCCTACACACAAGCAGCACCCGAGCGTGAATGAGATGACATGTGAACTATGACATTGAAGATTTAAGGTATTTTAGTTCAATGGGTAAGTTTTGATGAGTTCTAAGCTTGTGAGCCTCCCCCCCCCCTCAAATGTAGAAGTATTTGTTCCTATCTGACTATTGAATCGGTTCAAACCGTTTGTGTAAGGAATAGAGGTTTTTGATGTAGTTGCGCACGTTTTTCAATGGAATTTACTAGGTTGCACTAAGTTTCTTACAGATGTATGCATGTGGTTCAGGAATACATTGGGTACGCCCTACACACAAGTAGCACCCGAGCGTGAATGAGATGACATATTTAAGGTATTTTAGTTCATGTGTAAGTTTTGATGAGTTCTAAGTTTGTGAGTCTGCCATATGCCTGCCTGTCGGTCTGCCCCCATCAAACATAGAAGTATTTGTTCCTGTTTGACCATTGAATCGATTCAAACCGTTTGCTTAAGGAAAGAGGTTTTTGATGTAGTTGCACACGTTTTTCAATGAATTTGCCAGGTTGCGCTAAGTTACTTACGGATTTATGCATGTAGTTCGAGAATACATTGGGTACACCCTACACACAAGTAGCACCCGAGCGTGAATGAGATGAGATGTGAACCATGACATTGAAGATTACCTAGTAGAATAATTGTACCATCACATTTATTTACAAATATATATAATTATAAAAAAATGAATAAATGTGGATGTGTGTGTTTGTAAGTTTGTGGATTGGTTTTTGGTAGGATTAGGGAATTATAATAATGAATTAAAGGGAGTCACATGATGACACGTGAGAGCGGTCCCTCGGTAGTGGAGTTTGCACGTGTTCAACTTGAGATTTCCCTGCTCTTCTCCAATCTTCATTTTTAGCATTTTATGGGAATTTTATATTTAATTTCGAGATTTTGAATTTTCATCCATTTTACCAATTAAAAAGAGATAAATTTACTTTTACCAAGACCGTAAATTATACACTTACTGAAAATGGGCCGAGTAAGTGGGCCGATATTGGCCCAATAGCCTGAACAAATGACTTAACATTTTAGCCCATCTAAGGCCCAAAATCAAAAGAAGGAAAAGGAAAGGAGGAAGAACCCGTGCGTGCCAGCTGTTTAGTACATGTCAGGCTGTCAATCCGAAGATTTCTAAATATAAAAATAAATAAATAAATAGAAAAGCTGTCGAAACAGAAAACGCACAGTTTTGAACATCGTCTCTGAACCATCCGTCTCAATCCAACGGCTTAGATTTAATCTCTCTCTCCACTCTGGTCTTCGTCCTCAACGCAATTATCGCTCCTCTCTCTCTCTCTCTCTCTCTCGCGCGCGCGCGGAGAGAAAAAGAAAAGAAAGAACACAGAAAGAAGGGAAAGAAAAATTATCGAACCCCCAAATTCTCCAGCTCCTTCGGTTTCTTCTCCCTCTATTTCGAATCCTGCTCTCTCAGATTCTTCAGATCTAAGCGTTCCTCCTCGTTTCTGTAATGGCGGTCGCCTCTTCCCCTCGTGAGAAGTATGTTTACATGGCCAAGCTCGCCGAGCAGGCCGAGCGCTACGAGGAGATGGTTGAGTTTATGGAAAAGGTCTCGGCCGCCATAGAAAACGAGGAGCTTACCGTCGAGGAGCGGAACCTTCTCTCTGTTGCTTACAAGAATGTTATTGGAGCTCGTAGAGCTTCCTGGAGGATAATTTCTTCCATCGAGCAGAAGGAGGAGAGCCGAGGGAACGATGATCATGTTTCCGTGATCAGAGAATACAGATCTAAGATCGAGAGCGAGCTCTCTAACATCTGTGATGGGATCCTCAAGCTTCTTGACTCCCGCCTTATTTCCTCCGCTGCTTCTGGAGATTCCAAGGTGTTTTATCTCAAAATGAAGGGTGATTATCATAGATACCTGGCTGAATTCAAGACCGGAGCCGAACGGAAGGAGGCTGCCGAAAGTACCCTCACTGCTTATAAATCTGCTCAGGTTTGATTCCGTCCCTGTTTTGATGATGCACATATCGAAATCATTCGGTTGGTTAGGGCTCTTGAGATATCTCGTACTTATTCTCTCCTTATTTCCTAGTTTTATTCGAATGACGTGGAGTAATTACATGTTGATCTTCCAGTCTCGTCTCCTAGTTTTAATTATCTGATATTCTACTGTTTAGTCATGATTTCAAATCGGCTTACCATTGCCATTCGATTGGCTCTCATCCGTGTGTTTTCTCTCAGTTTAATATTCCTTGGTATGTAGATCTTTACGTGCTTGATCAAATTTCCTGCGTCAAAGAGAAAATATAGTTTATGCTTGTCTTCTAACTGTTTCGAAATGGATATCTGCTTTTCGAAGAATCAAATTCGTGAAAGTACACTTGTACAATCTTTCCCCAATTTTCCTTCGGCCGATTCTATTTTGATTGCTTATTTTTTTCTCTAAGAAATTTGATTTCCTCGCTCTTGAATTCACGAGTTGATCTGGGGAAGTGGTTTCAATATGCATACAACTTATTGAATCACAATTTTTATAAAGAGTTATCGAACAATCTAAATCGTAAAAAGTTTCTCCATGGATTCTTTTATTTTTGCAGCGAGTTGCATTTCATTGAGGTTCATAGTCAATAACGATCGTGATAAAATTCAATCAATTATTGTTCTAATTGGCTGTGTCTCTTACGTCTACAGGATATCGCAAATTCTGAACTTGCTCCTACTCACCCCATACGACTTGGGCTGGCTTTGAACTTTTCAGTGTTCTATTACGAGATTCTGAATTCCCCTGATCGAGCTTGCAGCCTTGCCAAACAGGTTACCTGAACTCGAATATTTTGTGTGCCTTTGTTTCTTGTCCTGAAGCTAGTGCCGTATACAAAACTGAATTTTCTTTTTCCCCTGATTGAATGAGCCTTTTTTTGCTTGTCTTTCAATATTTACCGAAAATTGGGTGTAGCACTGTAAGTGGGTCAATTTGGTACAGATTTTGGCTGATGTTGAAAGGAACCAACCCCCCTTTCAATAGTGTCACACCCAATTTTAGATGAATATTTATCGTTTTGTTACAAACTGAACCGACCATGCCATGAGAATCAATATAACTGTCTGAATTCAACTATAAAACCAAGGCAAAATGAATCGATACTAACCATCCTAACTGTCCATATCTGAACAGGTTGAAATATTTTGGATTTTGAATATTAATTATGAAATTGACCTATATTTTCTCATGAAAAGAAACTGAACTATTTTGTTTTGGTCAATGTGCTCAGTGTCTTATTGTTCCTTTTTTAACTTGTATTCCCTTCCTAGAACTGTATATTTACTGTTCAACAGTCCGAAATGTCACTAGAAGTAGTCTATAAATCATTCCAAATCACTTACCATTGTACTTCTATAGGCTTTTGATGAAGCAATTGCTGAGTTGGATACACTGGGCGAGGAATCATACAAGGACAGCACTTTGATCATGCAACTTCTTCGTGACAACCTCACCCTATGGACTTCAGACATGCAGGTAAACTATATGGTCATATTTCATATGCTAAATCTTTATCGACTATCTGCACCCGTGTTCTGAGTCCTGGGCTAGGCACTTTAAATTTGCTTATGCATAAATCTTTTCAGGATGATGGAGATGAGATTAAAGAAGCAGCTCCCAAGCGCGACGACGAATAATAGAGAGCATATTGATTTGCACGTGCAGGATTCAACTTCTCCTTTACATGTTTTATTCTGGAGAAGTGCTTGTTTGGAAATTTGGCTTTTCTATAATTATCTAGGTATTTCTTAGCCTTGTTATCATCACCACCTCTGGAAAAACGTCCTCGTTTGTCTTTTTTCTTTCATCCTCCTCCTTTTTACCCATCAATTCCATATCTCTGAATTGGCTATTTTTCTCAGAGTTCTATATATTATTAAGCATCATGTAATTTGATCTTAAACTTTACCCTTGTCAAGTAATTATATGAACTCCATATGCCGTCTGATTTGAATCCTGGTGTTCATGATTGTGGCGGTGTCTGCTGTCACAGGTATGTGTACCAAATTTTTGTCATATTATATTATTTTTTATTCTTTGGAATTTTATCGTGATTTCAATACTATATATATATATATATGTATATACACATACATAAATTTGCCCATCTCTTTTTTGAAGCCTTCAATGATGATTTCAGTCATGTTTTTACTTGCTTTTCTTTTTGTTGTTAGTTTCAGGTATACTTGTAAAATTTTTTAGAATATAGAAATGAAAATGAAATTGATTTTAAATATTTAAATGTAACATTGAAGAAATCATTGGGTATTAGGAAAAGACCAATGAATGCAAATGTGAGCTTTTGAAGTTCACAAGAAGGGCATTAGGAAACGGCAAAAACCAGCTTTATAGATCTAAACAAACACAAATAAAAGCCTCCTTAACCGCTCTTCTCCTTTTTCTAATTTTGATAAAGCTGAAGAAACCGGACCAACCAGTAAACCGTTGTTGCTTCCTCTTATTTTCCCCTTTACATGCCATGCCATGCCAGGATCTTCAAAACAATATCATTTTTTCAATTTTAAAAGTTGTCAAATATGTCAAAATTTATCACGCTCAAAATCGAACCTATTGAACACGAATATCATGTAACAGTGAAACAAAATTGACCCGGATCTGAATTTGAAAGGTTTCTCAAGTATAGAAGAGTTGATAGATTAGAAGAATCCAAACAAAGGAAGAAGAAAAGAAGGTGAAAAAGCAAGTGGGGGAGTGGACATGGGACACAAATTCA